GCAAACTGCTTTTTTTCCCCAAAAATAAAGAAACAAACCTCTTTTTGAACTCGCATCTAAGTCACATTCATGAGTGCATGAGGGACGCATCCATCAGCAGCACTCACACAAAGAGACAACACACTGTGGTCCAAGGTCAGCTGGCTTGCAGTCACGAAAAACAAAAAAAAGAGGTCCGGTTGCTAAATGATTTTCCTTCATCAATTTGCGCAGCTGAAAGCCGTCCGAGGGGACGGATGAGAGGACGGAAGCTCCTGGCTGTGAGGTGGAAACCAGAGCCCCCCCATCTTTGCTTGAAGCCCACGACGCCCGAGATTCATGAATAACTATGTTTGCCTTTTTATCGAGAGAAGCACCTCGCTATGCATGCAGGGATTCTTGTTTTCACACCTGTTGCCATGGATACAACCGAATTCCGATGATGTAATCTGCCTTTTATTAAACATTATCAATGGAGGCCGAGGTTTGTTCTCACCCTTGGTTCCCTCTCTTTTTCCTCCTCGCTGCCTCATTCGGTTTCCTCTCGCCCCCTGACCTCCCGACCCCTCGGATCTGTAATCAGCTCTTTTACAGCACCGGGGGAAAAAAACAATGTCACGCAGCCGCAGCCGCTGCCAGGACGTAATTATTAAAGAGCAATCGAATCACTCACGGTCATGGGAGTGCCCTTTGAACCGCTTGTTCGCTGTGCGAGATTCTCTAAACTGGAACGACATGATGGAGGAGACCCGAGTGACCCTGGGAAACATTCGTGCCACATGCACGTGCACGCGCCAGCGGCTCGCTTATGTCACGTCGCACACGCCGCATACCCCACAATTGCACATTCACGCGAACAATGTACTTTTGGCGGCTTTCCTGCCGTTTCCTGATAGCGAAGACAAAATGGTTACGTTAGTCACGGCGATGTCCTTGATATCTACAAAACACTATCTGTGGAAATCTATGGAAATAGGAAAGGACCGGCCAAGTAAAACAAACATGAGTCGGAATACTCAGCTTTGGGCTGTACGTTTCATAAAACCACAGAGAGGTTGTGTATTACTTTTCTCCTCCATTTCTGCATTGCGCAGAGGAAGTGACGCGTTACATTGCATTTGTGCTTTTCCTTCAACTGTTCATGAAAAGTAAATGGTTGAATGCTTTAAGGAAATACAAATTGAAGCAGCAAGAGCATTTATGACCGAAACCCCTCTTCAGCTCGAATAAGCAGAGTTGTTTTTTTTAACAGGCAATTTAATGCCATTTCGTGAACATTGATTTAAAATAACAATAAAAAAAGAAAAAAGCTATATTCGACAGCTGTGATTTCTCCCATTTACCCGCCCCATAAAAACCCAATTTAAAATCTGTTGACTGTCTTGTAATGTAAGCAGAGGAATACATTAATGTGCGTTAGAACAGGTGTAATTCCCTTTCTGGTTGAAATGGATTTGTGACATTTCATTATTGATTCTATAAAATTCTTAGGTTCAAGTAATAAGCGTTGTGGGACACCTAATCATCTAATCAACAACTCTCTAGGCCGACTAGCAGATCAGTTTTATCGAGGCATTAGATATTTTCCTGAACTGATTTGGTTTGATTTGGCAGGCCGGCAGATGGAAGCTAAGCTAATCCAGCTAGGTCCTAAGTCTACAACACTGGGCAGAGACTGCTGAGGCCTCATCTGCACATCTGACCAGGCTTCATTGTTGTCTCCATGTGTTGGTCTGTGATTGAAATGTTAATCTAAATGGTAAAAGCCTTCCGCCCACCTTGTAGGGTGACACACTCAAAAAGCTTGATTAACAGTCCTGAACAACAAAAAATAATACAAAATTAAAATAAATAACAGTTGAATACATGTACTTTATTCATATCTCATATATGTTTCTTTACATTTATACAAAAATACAGAAAATAGTTTTCACCCAGAAAACCAACCGGCAATAATTACATTTGCTTTTTGGCACCCAGACGTATTTCCTGCCTGGAGCCTTTTCTTCCCCACACTGCAGCACGGTGGATTGGATTCATCGAGGCCAGAAGCACCGTTCAGTGTGCCGCTCTGCTCACTCGGACCACACAGCAACCCGCACACCAACAGCTCTTAAGGGCGACCGTCCTCCCGACCAATGCGTGAAATCACTCGGATTCTGCTCTCTATGCATCAGACACGCGGACCGTTTGCAGCTCTCGCAGAGACAGCGAAATGGGAGACAATGTTGTTTTTCTCTCTTTTTTTTGTTCACAGCTTAGACCTGTTACTGCTCATGATATTCATAGACTATGCATCAATCAGATTATACCTTTGTTTGTGGCGAGACGAGTCAGTACGTAATAGCCTTTATGTAGAGAAGCAGAACCTAAAGCTGAACAAAGTGAAGGTCTCAGGTCCAGGCCGCCGTAGATAATATGCTCTAATATTGTTCAAGAATGCATTTTTGGATAGAAACGGCTAAAATGACAAAGCTTCCTGCTAAAAGCGTCGTTGTTGTGGATTATATGAACACCAATGTGGTATACCTTTTTCTAACAGAGACTCCAAGATGCCATGGAGAATGGGGAACAGTTAATAACAGTCGGCAATCAGGTGTTCCTCAAAAATGCATTTTCAATTCAATGAAATCATTTGCAGGTCAAAACAACAAACAATATAAAACCACACCGAATAATCCTGGCTAATGATGCTGAACAGTACTGCTGCTCTGAACTATATGAACACCAATGTGGTATACTCTTTCTTTTTAAACACAGATTCAATTTTGCACAAAATACTCCTCCTAAGCCCCAAACACACATGAAACAAGCAGTTGAACTGTTTCCTAAAGGTTACAAAGGGATAACACGTAAAGTTGTGTGAAAAGAAATGTCCCAATCACTACAGATTATTCTGCTGATGAGCTTTACCAGAAAACCGTCTTCCTAATCCTAACTGGGTAAACCAACTACATTGATATAAGTTCAAACAAAATGAAAAATCTAAGAAAGAAAAGAAATATTGGGGAACTGATCTGTAGTTCAGCGCTGTAGAGGCCTCACCACTTTCTGCTACCACACAGAAACATAGCGAGGCTTCTTTTTCTACATCAACGAGTCAATCAAACTAATCCAACAAGGCACAAAACAAATAAATGGATATGGTACAATGTAAGACCACAAACATGACAGAAATACTCCAAGCAGATCTGGAAACAGATGTGTGTGACTTTGTCCCGGTCTACTCTCCCCAGTCACAACCAGCATGTCCTCTTCTACCCCTTATCGGATCTTCATTTGTATCATTACACCTGCCGCTAATGGTCAAACTACTTTGGGACGAGGCTTTGTGGGAGTGAAACCAGGTCGAATTAGTTGGTGTGGACGCTCACTCGTGATATCTGCATCGTCGTCGTTTCGTCAAAGCCCTGCTCCCAACGCACCTTCACAAAGACGCGTCGGCAGGTCCAGGAAACGAGCCCGAGGGACGATACCTTGGCCGACTCACGTGACCAATGGCGGACGTTGCAAAATGTTGATTTTAATTTCAGTGTGGCAAACGGTCTCCTGAATGAAAGCGCTGTGTTTGTTGCCGTACGTCTTCCTTTAAAAGCTGTCATGATAAACCTGTCAACTCAAACTTAGCTGACAAAAGCCGAGACTGCTTGTCACAGATTAAATGCCTTTAACCCGTTGAGATCTGTTATCAGTGAGATGCGGAGCACTCTTGGCAGCAAACGTATCAGATGTGAGAGTGCGTAAAGGCAGGGAGGGGCACCTTCATGTCCTCCAGGAACGAGTTCTTCTTCACTTGCTACACACTTATTGTTGTGGGTTGAGCAACCGTGTGGCAACTGTTTGGATTTATCCGACATTTAATGATTTTCTGCCCTTCACATGGATCTCTGTACTTTAAGGCAAAATTGACATTTAGGTCTGGACGGCATTCCCACCTGGCGAGCTTTGTGAATATTGAGAACAAATAGGGTGCGTGTCTAAGATTTCCTCCTTCAGAATAGCATTAGCATTTGAATGATGATGAATGCACTAACTAGCTTTGTCAGATTGTCTTTAGTGGGTTTTGTTATGCAAGTACCACACTGATACCGGACAAAGGCAAAATGAGGAAGAATAAGCTGACGGGTTGGATTTATATAGCATTTTTATAATCAGTCATATGTCTCTTAAATGTAACTATTTAGTTATTTTCCTTTCTTAAAAGAAACGGCCATTAAAAATCTCTAACATTGTTTACTTTGCCAGCCTAAAGGGTGGTTTTTAGAAACTATAATAAAAAGACGTTTTAGAGCCATTATTAACTAGGGGAGGTCCGTCGTTGTCTTTCATTCCTCTATCACCTGTGTTCTGAATTTAGAAAAAAAAAAAAGTCATCCCTGATATTCGTGAGCAGAATGTTCTAGGAGTCTAAATGTGAGTTATTCAAAGCAGCATATTTTTAAATACACTCTTTTCGTTCTCCGTGTGATTCATTCACTCAACCTAAACCATCCGAGTCACATACACCAACAACAACATCATACGAGGATATGTAACTTGTTCACAAATGGGGACGGGGGGGGGGGGGGGGGTACGAAGAATTAATATATAAATTGTTTCTTAAATGTGACCCATTAATAGAGGTGCTCTTAAGTGATCGCTTGAAGCGTCTCAGTTGTATCGACAGCAGAAGCTCAGTGCTGCCGCCAATAAATAAATACATCGTCCGCCCCGATGGGCCTGAACCAGACAGCGTGACTACAAGTTGGAATTACAAATGTCTGACATGATACTCTTGAGGGGAAACCCCCCCCCGGACCGAGAGGAGAGCGCAGAGCTGCTGGAGACGTGGTCGAGACGTGAGGGTCACCGGAGGTAGAAATTCATGCCTCAGCTCGAGCGGGAGACGACGAGTGTCCGTCGCCCTCGGCGCCGCTTGTTTGTAGACTGCCGGCTCCAAAAAGAAACACTGGCAGGATTTTTGCAACGTGCCGAACGAAAGACCAGTGGGGGAGGTGGGTGTGGGGTCAGAGGGGCGCAGGTTCTGCAGGACGATCCGCGGGAGCCAAGTCGGTGGGGGGTGGGGGTGGTGGTGGTGGGAGGGGGATGAGGGTTTACGCTCCGCTTAAATCTTAGTCTTTTTCACAAGCACGAGGTTAATGCAGTCTTACATGAAAGGCGAAGCTTATCCGCGCGGCTCCTCCGGACGGGTCCGTTCCGCGGTGTTTGTGACCGGCGGTCTGCAGAGGAGTCGAAGACAAACCCTTTTTGCGATAGCGCGATGGAACTCGGCTTCGCGGGTTTTGGTCTGAGGAGGGGGGTGGAGATGGTGGAGAGGGTGGGGGGGTAGGAGCAGAGCCCTGTGAGAGACAAACGTGTGTGGAGAGAGGTTTCAGAGCGCAGCTGCTAGAGAGGGATTTAAGATGGATTTGCTTTGGATTTTCAAAATCTCACCACTTACGCAGAGGCGGGCGGGACGCAGCGCCGTTACTCGATTTCAATGACGTTCAACATGTTTCTGTAATTAGACGGAAAGAGGAACGTCAGACAGTGAACGTCACTTCCCCCCCGCGGCTCAATAATGAGCCGGGAAGCTTTTAACACTCGAGGTCAGAAGCTTTCAATGCTGTAACACAAAAAAGGTTTAACTGGCCGTGGACAAAATTAAAGGTATGAAGCGTTGTGTTCGGAGAGAAATATACAAAAACGGAATATGATTTTTATTTTATGTATGAATACATTTCTAAATTCTTAGAAATAGGTTCCCAAATCCTTTCTTATGTTAAAAATTGATGAGCTAAAGCTTGGTTAAAATGTCAAAGAGCAGAAGAAAAAAAGAACGCTCACTTTTCTGATATTTCAGTGTCTAGTGGAGGTGCAGTCGCTTCGGCTCCTGGGAAGAGTCCACCTTCTCCAGGACTTTGTTGCAGATTCTCCTCGTTCCTACAGGATCGAACCTGTTTTAGGAAATAAATATTAACAAAAGAGTCTCAAAAAATGGAAATCAGTTGCAGCTGAAATAGACAGTCTCGCACATGGGGCCCGTCATACATGAAACAGCTCAGTGGCCGGGCTCAAAAGGTCGACTCACCTTCCACACAAGCAGGAATATGAGAGCTACGAGTGGAATGAACAGTAAGGAGAGAAGGCTTTGCTCCAACACCCCAGACAGGGTTTCAGGTTCTGGGGGGAAAAAAAACAGTAAAACATGAATTCCTCTTCTGACTACATGTTAACAATAATTAGACCCAGGAGGTTGGAGATCATGAGGAAGTTTTAACCTCGTCTTTTGTGTAACTTTTAATATCTATATTTCCACAATTAGCGTGAAGTGTGAATCAGCAGAAAAAAACCCTCTTTCCACATGACTAGACAAAACAAAACAAAAATACTGCTTCTGTTTCTGTAAATCTAATGATGGAGTGAACGGCTTCCACAGAGGGTTCAAAGGTCAACCTTCAGCGCATAAACCGGAAGACACGAAAGAGAGAAAAAAAAACGTTCAAGCCGTTTCATACTACCACGCTTTGAAAATCTATCCATGCTGTCAAAACCAGACTGGGTGAAAAAAAAAAAAAAAATCATTCATTCACGCAAATTGTGATTCCTCAGTCGTTTTACATTTTACGTGACAAACTGGAAACCTTGTCCGGCGCTAATGTTCCTCTAACCATCTCAAAGGATTCTGGAACAAGGCACATAATATATTTGCATAAATGTTTAATGTATCAACTGAACATTCCGACACGACCTGACGAGGAGTGATGAGGTATTTGCCCTGCAGAGCTTCGAGTGACAGCAGCTCTGTGGGCAACGGGGCGGACCTCGCTGTCGAATGTGGCAAAATACCGTCGGTGCCGAAAGCTGCTGCTCTAACACACCAGCTGGGCCGGATTCTGCCACGAGAACACGGACCCGACACCCGACTGAACCCAGAACGCACTTACTTGGTTTGCAGTCTGCACACTTTGGAGGGCCGGGCTCTGATGTTGCTGCAGTGGGGGGGAAGGAGGTGAGTTGGTGAGTTGTCAGGTGCTAAAAAGTAGACTCAATAGTGCCTTTTTCATGCTGCTGCCCCCCCCCCCACACACACACACACAAAAGATCCAAAGCAACCACTCGGTCCGAGCTTAGATTGGAAGATTGCTCTGTAATCAACACGTACACAATGAGGTTTCGGCCCTTTTCTTCCCTCTCACATGCGCTACCTGGGGACGCCGTCCCCTCGGTCCTGTGACTCAGCCGCGTCTCAATGGGCCGTTCTAAACGCCGGGACCGTTTTTCTGTTTTTTTGGGGTTTTTTTTAAATCTCGCAAAGTTCTTGAGAACAAATGACAGTTCCCGGACTGAAAAGCTTGTGGAGGCGGCCACCAGAGATCCGCGCTGAATGGAGCCGGCTCACAATAGACCAAAGGAGACGGCGGGCGCTTTACAGGCCGAGGTTGACTGCTGGTTCGAATTTGTAGACCAGACCATAAATAATGAGCCGGAAGTGTGACCTAAATCGTCAACTCAGGCCGTAAAGCACTTGAAAAGGTGCAGTGTGTGGGATTTGGTGGAAACTAGTGGGGAGGTTCTATGTGAAGACCCCTGATGTAACGCTGCGCGGTCTTTCGGGACCGTGGACTCGACTGCTTTGGACGATGATTTGCGGGCGGCAACGTGGTCTTGCACTCTGCAAACAGAACTGTTGTGACCCTTTGGGGCTTTGGAAAACACAAAAAGGCTCTTTCAAGAGCTGCTGTTTGGTTAGTCCTTTTTGTGCCACGTTTTGTTCCACGTGGAAACGTTACGAAGCCTCACAAGTAACACAAACCCTACGGTTTTCAGCCGCAGGTGAGTGTACACCCAATGGGAACCGGTTTCTACCAAGACCTTCTTTTAACATTTAATTATTTTGTTCCAAGGAAATGCTCCCGTAAAACCAGTTGGCAGTCAGACAATAGATACATAACTGTCAGCGTGGCATGTGGACGCAACGTCGATGTTGAGTCTCCACCCTTCCCGTGCCACAGGAGGGGAGAAATCCACACTCCAGAGTCTCTGCCAGAGAAAGCTTGGACTGATTGTTGTCTTTGACCAGTCTTGTTGTCTTATCGTATCACGCGGCTCACATCTCGCACCAGATGGGCTCATTGTGGGGATGAAACATGTCAGATAACCACGTTAGCGCCTGACATTTGCCAGTCCCGAGAGTCAGAAGTCACAGCTGTGTCTTATTTTTGCTTAAACCGCAAGCTTCTCTCACTCAACACCCCCCCCACCCCCCCCCAGATCGAGGAGCATCCATAAATCTCAACTGGTGGGTTTTATACTTTGCAGTACTTCTAAAGGTGATGCTATGTGCACTGTAAAGCCATCAGTGAGAAGAACCAGGCCGTAGAAGTGATCTGCAGCAGAAGAGGCCATGGGATTAATAATGGCGGCAGCAACAAACAAGCTCTCCCCGAGGGTTGCAGCCACCAAAAGGTCTTAAACCATCCGTCCATAAAACAGACAACAAGGGCACCGAAGGGCTGCAAGTAATCACTACAGGACTTAAGCAGCAAATTCCTTGTTTTGTCTGACCCTTAAGGCCAAAAGATGTTCAGCACTGATTCAAAGCTGATTTTCATGTTTCTTTTGTCGAAACTGGATTTTTTTTAGTTTGTAACTAGATGTAATAACGATAGCAGGCCAACACGTGTAAATACTGCGTCAAATAAGTACTCACCATTTAAATAATCTGCTGTTGTTACTGCGTATGGTGTTGTGGGACAGGGAGGAGGGTCGCAGTAATCTGAATCTTCTTTATTCTGTGCAGCTATGAGAAAGTCTTTGACAAAGTCAAAGTACCGCGCCGTCTGCCACCTCTCTTCCCTGTAGTGGCACTGAAAGTCGTTCATGATCGCCTCCTGCAAAGACACATTTCAACATTAGTCGCATGCAATAACTAGTTCTCACAGACTGGTTTTACAACTCTAGGGCTGACATCACGACCGTGTATGGTAATTAGGTTTATAATATAACAAACTCTCACTGCAAAGGGTCCATCCACGCTACACTAGTTTCAAATAATCCAAATGTGTAATTGACAAAACAACTGAGCTTGTTTTCCATCTAGCAATGGACACGTTTAGAAATCATACTTCTGCCATGTGAACTTACCAAAAGGCCCATGTTGAGCCGCAGTTCTTGGAACATTTGGATGAATATGCTAATATCTTTTCGGTTGGAGGAAATGTTTCCAAACTTATGCGCTAAACCTTTTAAGCTCTCCTCCAAGTAGAAGACGTTTAATTTCACCCAACACATCCCTCCCTGAAAGAGGAAGAGCAGATGTAGGGCTTTAATTGAGCAATAAGTGTACATATCAACTAACGTTCGATAATCCTCCCAGAGCGGATGCCACCATGTCTTACCTCTTCCCTCGGAATGTAGTTCACAGGAATTTTGTAATCTTTAGGAATGTTTTGTCTCTGCAAAAAGAAAAAAGTACAAAAAAAAATATGCAGACAAATGATATTTTTGAAATAACAGCCAGCTTGATTTAGGAATTAAAAGAGCTTCAAACAAATAATGAGTGTGGCGTTAGCTGGGAATGTTGTAGTGAATCACAGCATTGTTCTTACCAGAATGGAGAGCCTAGAGATGTCATCTGTCACTGGGTTGACGTCAAATTTGCTCGAATGTACCCCAAGCGTGATGAACAGCAGTATATGGACACAGACGCGTATCCAAATCTGCAGATTCAACACAAGACAAACACAAGATGTTTTGACAATTATCCAATAATTACCAATTAGCCATAATAAATGACAACATATGACTGACTCTTTGTGACCGGCGGGTCAAGCGGGTGCAACTACTCCGCACAACTCAATGCAATCAATGAGCAGCCTGATTGGCTTATGAATCCACGGCAGCCCACTTGAAGCAAGTCATTGAGCGCACAAAGTTATTCTGGCTTTTAGCGGGTTGTTCTACCATGCAAAAGACAAACACACCTTGCACACACACATTTTGAGGTGCTCCTGCACTGACCAGAAAAGAGAGGACAGAAATATTCTGGCATGATCCAACAGTCACAACCGTAATGGCTGTTAGGTAAGAGGGATTATGCATGAAGCCTTCTGCCTGTATGCTAGATGTACTCTAGAACGCCTTCATACCACTCACAGTGCTTTTACACAACATGTCGCACACCCACTCACACCCATTCATGCACTGCTGGGGCTAACATGCAAAGTGCCACTATCCATTAGAACTAACTAAGCACTCACACCCATTCACACACCGGGGAGGAACCACAGGTCTGCAGATTAGAGGCCAGTCACCAGATAGCTCATTAGCTTAGATTGGCTCACCTGATATCAGATTTTATGGCAACATTGCACAACTTCATGTAAATGTGACAAACCGTTCATTGTTCCAAAGTATATGTGAATATTTGTATTCATCCCATTAATGATTCCCACATTTTAAAAGGACTTTAAACCGAAAAGATAAAAGACACTCCGATGTCTGATAAGCAAGTTAGAGGAGTAGCTGGAGGAAGGACGCGCCTTACCAACGTCGTCTTGGTATGGAACAACCTGAAGATCAAGGTCTGTCCCAAATTACTGATCAAAACGGGAAGTCTTTACACACTAAAACTAAATGCAAAAAAAGCATCTGTCTGTGCTCTGTTTTAGTGCATTGACGCCTTGGGAAAACCTTTCCAAGAGAGACACTTGAAACTCCTGAAATGCAAACCTTAACATTAACAATGGTCGCCCGCGCTTTCCCTGCATGCCGACACGTTGAACCGATTTCTGTGTGGGGGCTCCTTCATACTTCAAGTAGGTACTCGGAGCTGGGAAACAAAGGGTGCCGAACGTTTATAGACGGGAGGATATATGGACTCGGTTTCTGCTTTTAAGTGGTCGGGCTTGCCTCTCTCTTCCTCAGCCTGCCATGCAGCTGGTCCTCAGCGGACCAGTAGGCCCTGAGAAAAGTAAACCTCAAAACAGTCATGTTGCAACACTGCGTTGTTGTGACATGCAGGTGGATACAATTTCAAGGACGGATCCAGTGTGTCAGATATATCGCATTATCACAATCTGCGAGTCCTTGTCTGCGGTTGTATTGTCGAGTAACCCGACACGTCTTGCTCCATCACATGCGTCGCCCAGGGGCAGAAGAAGTGCCCAAGAGTCCACGACTCATCTGCAGCATCGCACCTTCATTGTCACCGACCAAACGAGAAGAGGCATATGACCAACCCAAGAGGATGAGTGAACTCAATGGAAGTATGTTATAATCCATCGCCGTGGTTACACTCGTCTGGTCAATGCCTCTTTTGTCCTCGGATGCGCCGGGTCACAACTCAGCTGCGTCCGCGTGTTTGTGTCCATGCAAAACTCCTATTAATTCTTCACAGTAACAGTCCCTCGTTATCTTGGCTGCTTACTCTTCTTCTTGCATTGAGGCAATATTGCACAAGTTATTACTGGCAGTTGGCGATGATGATGATAAAGCGTGTAGTGTAGTGATGCGCCAAAAGAAAACGACTGCGGGTAAAAACAATGAACGGACTCAAAATCTTTTTCAAAAATCTGCTCTGCTATTGTCCTTTGAGGACAAGAAATGAAACTCAGCCCATTTGTTGCTCATCAACATCCTTTAGAGCCTCATGAGGAGCCGTGGAATCAAAGCTTTTGTTCCTTCACAAGGAAACTGTGACTTTAAGATAAGGTACTTGGCTGCCCGGTGGAGCTGCACTGGCTTACCGTACATTAGCAGGTGCCGTTCACTTGGCTGACCTGCTTCCTGTTCTCCGTGCAAATCTAACCATATTATGCAATGGGCCTGCAGGTCTCCTCTCAATAGAGATTAGGGCCAGCTAGGGCCTAACCCGAAACAATTCAGCAACCTTGAAAGTGAACCCTATGAACTGAGCCATGTCTAATCTAACCTCAACCAGTACTACTACTACTTTTTGGAGCAGCTCTTTGCTTATCATTGACCGTCGCATTCAGTCCTTTTTGAAGTGTACACACTTTCACTGCCAGTTTGGGCCGTTTAGATCGGTTGTTGACGGAGGCAGAGTCGGCCACCCACCTTCCTCCGGCTACTGCACACTTGGTCAAATGGACACACAACAGGAAGTGAATGGAACAGCAATCCATTAACAGCAGGAAAAGGCCGACGGGCGGCATTTAAAAGCGCAAACGGGACGTAATTCAATTGCCCGAAGCTTCTTCTGCTCACCCAAACGAATCGTCGTTCACTGGCAGACAGGGACTAGGAGCAATTAACCAAAGACAAATTCATCAGCTGCGCCTCGACCTCTTGTCATATGTCATAAATCACATGAGCAAAGGACACAGCGGATGAAATGAGAGGAGCTCCAGATACAACAACAGTTCGCTACTTGAGGTCAAGGACAAGCTGTTTAACAAAGCAAAGCCAGCAAAGATCTTAAACAACATCTTAACAGATTCCAGTGCGTTCGCCATTTCCAAAGAATGGAACCTTTGTCTTTTATTTAAGCTTTGAGGACTTCCTAACGCTAACAATCACAAACAAACTCGGCTGATATCCAAGTGGGGGACGGTTCATGCGTCTGGATGTTTTCTTTACCTTGTTCTTATGGACAGAACTAAACCATGTGGTTTCTTCATGTGAGTCAAAATACTGTTTTTGTTTTGGGTGCCCGTGGCCCATTTCAAAAAAGGGCCACTGGAAAGAAACATGCACCAATTGATTGTTTATTTCATTGCTCTCTGGTTTCACCCCTGCAAAGTGGGCTCAAGAGGACAAACCAGTTGGTGGAGGCCTCCACAGACAACAACATGATAAGATTGAAAAATCACATCAAATCACTGAAAGAAAATGTAAAATAACGGTTCTACTTTGTTTTTGGCAGAATCCAGTGCAGAAGGCTTCCCGCCGTTGTTAAATACAACGTTGCCATTTCCCTTACACTGTGATCCTGTTCACAACTTGTCTTTCTTTCATTTTGGTAGCAAACATGGTCAACAATACCACATGGAAAGGCTTAGCGATGACGTCCTTCTCAACATGTGCCGAGAGTATGTTGAGTCGAGCCGTTTGAAGGGGGGAACAAACATGTTCTGCACACATGTGCGCTCTGCATGCAGAGAGCTGCCATTCGCCGACGTTATTCTAAAAATAAAAAAAATCATCCCCGTGGCGTTCCTTTTTTTGCGAGAGCAAGTAGGGCCGAGTAAAGACTGCAGCATTCACAAAAGGACGTGATGATGGCGGGAATATCTGCCCCCGTCTCCAAGTCTTTATGAGACGGATTCACAACCCATTAAACAAGGAACCACAGGTTCTGACAACAAATCAGGGTTCAACTTTCATTGGGCCGACAAGTGTCATTGGTTGGGAATCATATGGAACGGAGTTAAAATGAAGGAGTGGAAATGTTACAAACGGCACTTTTCTGGGTGGATAATTATATGTTTTTGTACAATTTGACTACTTAGAACGGCAGGATATTATGTCATAGATACCGACTCGCGTTACAACTGAAACATGTCTAGTGGCAGGATTCCCAGTTCTGAGGGCCAGAACTATAAACTGTTTATGGGATTTAACAAGTATTAACAGTCATTGTGCTCCTCGTGAAGTTGTTTGTCGATCTCCATGGGTGTTTCTCCCCGGAGGTTCAAGAGCAGACCCACCACTGAGAAACTGGTTTCCTTTGGCGTTAGTGAACGCCGCGCTGGCGAGCTGTCAATCACACTATGGCCTCAGAATACCTTGCTTTGTAATCTATTTGCCACCTAATCTAATCAATCTGTTTTGAAGAAGACTCAGAACTAGTGGTTGGGACCTTGAGAACTCATGTTAAACTTAGTTTTCGGGTTGATGCATACAATAAACTTTCAGGTTTACTGATGCAATAAACGTAATTGTTTGGTTTAGAAAAAGATGTAATTAAAGATGATGCCGATACCAATTTACTAAAAATAAGTTAAAGTAATTAATGAAATCATTTTAGTCTGAAATGTCGTCTCCTACTCTAAATCTTCCAAACGTAGAGTGCACAAGTAAGTTACTTACTTGTATGGATTGGAATGCTTGGAATGATTGCAGTTTTGTCAAAATGACTGACCGATTACTATTATTAGTAATAAGTAAATATGTCTTGAGTTTACAACTTAATTACAGTTTTGCGATGCGGCCTCATTCCCGGAACAATAATTCCTATCTTATCGTGAGCTTCCTTATCCCCACAGGGAAACAGATGGAGAAATACATCTCTGTGAAATAACGCCTGTGCAAAAACAAACAGATCGGGTCTTTAGAAGCCGCAAAAGCCCTCATGAGATCCCGGGACTCAGCTCGGGCCAAACACATCAATAAACCGCACAGCTCATCCCTGATCCTTAATAAAGCAAGCCATTCCTGTCTGTGTGCTGCATTCACAGGGAACCTTCTGTGAGGCACAAAAGAAACGTTTAAAGGAAAGTTGACTTTCACAACCACCGACTTGATATCTGGCAGATCTGACATCTTCTTGAAACAGCGGACATCAAACCCTCCAAACTAAAGCCCTCTTGTACGTCATCGGCAGGTGCATTAATGCACTCAAGGCCCGTCCTTCAGACTTTTAGCCCCCAGAGGTGTCATTGGCTGGTTCTCCAGGCCTAACCCTTAACCCATAATCACGTAATCTCATGCATCCATGATATAATTGCATAGCAACATGCAGCCTTTTTGTCAGAGT